TGTCTTGTATGCAGTGGAGAATTGGTTTTTATAGTAGACTTTGAGTTGTTCAGTGGAGTTGTCGGTAGTGGTGTTTTTTTTTTTGGTGGCTGTCCAGGTATCGTTGGGGTGTCTTGTCGAATGTGGTATTACTATATCCATTATTGATGAATGTTTGTCGGAGTGTACGAATTCTGTTGTGAAATAGATTCCAATCTGAGGATATTTTGTAGGTACGGTGGATGAGGGCGTGGATGGTTCCAGTTTTGTATCTTTGAGGGCATTCACTTTGAGCGTTGAGGTAGATTCCCTGGCTAGTGGGTTTTTGATAGACAGATGTGGCGTCTAGATGTAGACAGATGTATACAGATAATTTATTTAAAAATCGATATACTACTAAAACTCTGAGATTGTTTGTTTGTTTGCTTGTCTGTAATTAAGTACTTGTATGCATACTTCTAAGAATATGGTACCCCTGAAATGAGAATAGAAACAGAATAAAACAAGTTTCGTTAAAATGTATAGACGCTAATATGTGTATATAGATAATTTATTTAATAAATTAATGTATAGACTGTAATATGTATACAGGTAATTTATTTTAGAAATTAGATATATAGATGATAATAGGATCGTTGATACAAAAAAAACAGGTGGTTAAGGCACTGGACTCGCAATATGCACTGGGTTCGGATGGTTTTACTACCAAACAGCTCCCTCTTTAAGCCTTGGTGGGCTTATGATAGACAAACACTAGTAGTATATCTTAGATAAATGACAAAAGAAACATTGGTAATATCTTTTACTTTAAAACGTTAAAATATTAATATCTATTAGATAAGCCACAAAGGTAGAGAACACTACAGTTTGGTTTATAAAACAAAACGGTATAAGGACACAATTAAAAACTTTCTTATCTGACTTCTACAGAAAGTGTCAACATCATAATTTGCTGTATTTATTTTATTAACGACTAACCACTTACATCTGACTTTTTTAGGTTCAGAAAAGGGTTTCATTTCTGTTTGAATGTATAGCACATTTTAAATCTTCTTGTTCTGTTAGATCATGATTTAAGATATCCGTGCAATAGATAGATTCACAAATTTAAGAGACTGTAGTTCCTTTTATAACCAGACTAATATCAACCATATTATTAAATATGTTTATAATGTATCATCTTCTATATTCCTTACTGTAGATAAAAGTAAGATTTACATTTACTTACAGCATCGTCTACATGTTTCGTCAGAATCTTCAAATCGAGTAATCCGTTCAAGTTATAAATGTTTTTTATAACTAAGGTTTCTTGAATCATGATCTAACAGAACAAGAGATTTAAAATGTGCTATACATTCATTCTTAAATCATGATCTAACAGAACAAGAAGATTTAAAATATATTTTATATTCATTCTTGAATCATGATCTAACAGAACAAGAGATTTAAAATGTGCTATACATTCATTCTTAAATCATGATCTAACAGAACAAGAGATTTAAAATGTGCTTTACGTTCATACTTGAATCATGATCTGACAGAACAAGAAGATTTAATATATTTTACATTCATTCTTGAATCATGATCTAACAGAACAAGAAGATTTAAAATATATTTTATATTCATTCTTGAATCATGATCTAACAGAACAAGAAGATTTAAAATATACTTTTCATTCATTCTTGAATCATGATCTAACAGAACAAGAAGATTTAATATATTTTACATTAATTCTTATATCATGATCTAACAGAATAAGAAGGTTTAATATCTGATTTACATTCATTCTTAAATCATGATCTAACAGAACAAGAGATTTAAAATATACTATCCATTCATTCTTGAATCATGATCTAACAGAACAAGAATATTTACATTCATTCTTAAATCATGATGTAACAGAACAAGAGATTTAAAATATATTTTACATTAATTCTTAAATCATGATCTAACAGAACAAGAAGATTTAAAATCTGCTTTACATTCATTCTTAAATCATGATGTAACAGAACAAGAGATTCAAAATATATTTTACATTAATTCTTAAATCATGATCTAACAGAATAAGAAGGTTTAAAATCTGCTTTACATTCATTCTTAAATCATGATCTAACAGAACAAGAGAGTTAAAATATACTATACATAGATTCTTGAATCATGATCTAACAGAACAAGAAGATTTAAAATATATTTTACATTCATACTTGAATCATGATCTAACAGAATAAGAAGACCTACATGAAGATACAGAACCACCAAACGGTTTCTGAGGAAGTGTGTTTTCGGAAATTTTACAAGAATAACAGTAGAATTTTGAACAAATAATCTGGTAAATAAAATGTTAGAAAAAACTCCGGAAAATAATATGACAGGGAGAAAACTGCAGATAGGTTTAAAAAAATATGTCGTGTAGGTAACTTAGATTTAAATGTACATCGTCCTCTATAGAACACAAAATAAACAATTGATAAATACAATAATTATTGAAGTAACTTACTTAAAACTGGTTACTTCAGCTGAAATGCACTTCTTCCCCAGAAACTTCTTAAACTGTTCAAAATAAAGTTACAAAATAATGTGTTTGTGTAGGTTAGTTTACAATTACATGGAAAGGTTAGATGTGTTTGTTTAGGTTAGTTTACATGTACATGGATAGGTTAGGTGTGTTTGTTTAGGTTAGTTTACATGTACATGGATAGGTTAGGTGTGTTTGTTTAGGTTAGTTTACATGTACATGGACAGGTTAGGTGTGTTTGTTTAGGTTAGTTTACATGTACATGGATAGGTTAGGTGTGTTTGTTTAGGTTAGTTTACATGTACATGGACAGGTTAGGTGTGTTTGTTTAGGTTAGCCCTTTATCATCAGATTTTAACATGGGTTTACTTTAGGAGTTAAAATAGACATTATGTATAATTTTATTAGAAAATTCAATAATGTATAACAGGAATTAGGTTAAGTGTGGGTATGTTAGACAAAAGTAGGATGGGTTGTGTTAAGTTAGGTGAAGGTAGGATAGGTTGGGTTTACTTTGCTGTAGATATGGTAGGATAAGTTAGGATAAGGTTATTTTAGGATGAGTTAGGATAGCCGTACTTAGAAAGGTTAAATTAGATATATTTCGTTAGGTTAGTTTACATGTACATGGATAGATTAGGTGTGCTTGTGTACGTTAGTTTACATGTACATGGATACGTTAGGTTGGCATTCTGTTATCCACTATTCGGTCTTTCAAGAGTAGCCCAAGAGCTACTGGTGAGTATTGTTTACTGGTTCCCTTTCCACTAGTTCAACCCAAGAGTTGGTGGTGGGTGGTGTTTACTAGTTGCCTTTGTTCTAGCTCAGCCCAATAACTACTGGTGGGTGGTGTTCAGTAGTTCCCTTTCCATTAGTTCAGCCCAAGAATTGGTGGTGTTAACTAGTTGCCTGTCTTCTAGCTCAGCCAAGAGCTGGTGGTGGGTGGTGTTATCTAGTTGCCTTTCTTCTAGCTCAGCCAAGAGCTGGTAGTGGGTGGTGTTAACTAGTTGCCTTTTCTGTAGTTCAGCCCAAGAGCTGGTGGTGGGTGGTGCTCACTGGTTGTTTTTCCTCTAGTTCAGCCCAATAACTACTGGTGGGTGGTGTTCACTAGTTCCCTTTCCATTAGTTCAGCCCAAGAGTTGGTGGTGGTGGTGGTGTTAACTAGTTGCCTTTCTTCTAGCTCGGCCAAGAACTGGTGATGAGTGGTGTTAACTAGTTGCCTTTTTCTGTAGTTCAGCCCAAGAGCTTGTGGTGGGTGGTGTTTACTGGTTGTTTTTCCTCTAGTTCAGCCCAATAACTACTGGTGGGTGGTGTTCACTGGTTGTTTTTCCTTTAGTTCAGAAGGCTAAAAGTTTCTAATTTTGAAATGACAGAAAGAGGAAATACAACCAGCAAAGACCACCCACCTTCAGCTCTTGGGCTGAACTAGAGGATAGCAAACTAGTAAACATCACTCACCACCAGCTCTAGAACTGAACTAGAGGAAAGAAAACCATTGAACACCACCCACTACTAGCTCTTGGGATTATGCCTTTTTTGAATAGAGGAAAGTATGTTTAACACTTGAGTTTCCAATATATAATTATAACTGGTATTTTGAGAACTTAGAAATAAAGACATCACATAAAGTGAACTCTGAAGGTAAAATATATTACACTGTCTAACATTTTAACATCACCTGAACTTTACAGAAAAACTAGTAGTCAAAGGTTTTTATTGTATACCTACAGTGGTTATTAAAGAAATGATTTTAAGTTCCTAACTATCTCAATATTGGATTAATTGTCATTCTTCAAACACGTAAATGTAATTAGTAGGTTCATTTGTTGGATTTTGAATAAAACAAATCTAAGTTTACCATTTTTCACTGAGGGCAATAGTATACTATATATAATATAATTTGGAATGTTATATAATCAAACACCATATATATAATTATATAATCAAAGTGTCTCGTTAAGAGACAAATTAACAGAAGAGGTCAAGAATATATTTAAAACCAGAAAACATTAATTAAGCTGGGCTTATAATAGAAAAAATAGAGGTTCTATCCTTACCGAGGGTTAGATAAGTCAATGCGTAAGTTTATGCCTAAATAAATATACAGTCCTTGCTTCAGTGAAAGTGCAGATAATTTCAAGAATATGGGTTGTAAGTTTATTAGCCCATGCTATCATTTTGATTACTCTAGTGAACATCTTCTTGTGTTTAAATTATTGTGTATCCTTCTGTTTTTTAAACTCTGAACTCAAAACAATATTCAATAATAAACAACTTTAAGTTTTAACTTGAAAGGATTTTAACTTGTCTTTCTGTCTTCTCATTTTTCAAGGCGAAAGAACAGCGACGACTTGGAATGTTTTATAGTTGTTGAAATTCTAAAAAACGTGGGCGATGAGTTTACTAGTCGTATTGAATCAACGTCTATTTATGTTCCAACCGCTGATCCAAATTATGTAATACTTCCTCCACATCTGGTAGTTCTCAAGTCCTGGCTTAAAAAAGGTGAGGGATATTCCAGAAAAAATAATGAAGGCTTATAACACTAAAAACGGTTTTCGATACCCATGATAGGCACAACAAAAATAGTACATTGTAAAGCTTTGTGCTTAGCTGTGAAAGGACTAGCAACTTATATGAAAATTATTTTAGTTTTTAATGTTGTGCCTTGTTAATCATAAAATGGAACAGCCAATCATTAATTCGAGATAATACACAGATAATGAAACAGCCAATCAATAATCTCAGATGATACATACAAAATTAATATTCAACGTGATTGGATAGAAATTCCTATAGTTTTATAGAAGAACAATTGTTTACTTATCAAGGTTATATTCTCCAATCACAGAACCACTGCTAGCCCTGAAGAAGTCACAAAGCGTTGGAAGAAATACGTTTGTTATTATTATTATCTGGAGACTAAAGATTGTTTTTTTCCTAACTTTATTGCCAAAATGTCTAAACTGCTCCAGAAAACACTACAAATTCTGAAAAATAGAACGTAAGCTACAAATGTAATTGGCTTGAAATATTTTTTTTTTTTTAATATCATAATTTACAAATATCAACGTTATTATTTTGTTGTTTGTTTTCCTTTATATATTATTTGACAGAATTCAAACAGGGCTACAAAATACGAGATATACCTACAGTTCTATATTTTAAGGCAACAAACACTAAAGATGTGTCACATTTATTGACCACAGTAAAATATTTGTTTAACACTTATTCTGTTATGTAAACAATGTTTACAGAAAACTTCCGAACACAAACGCGATGCCTGGAAGCCAATGACATAAAATATTGTCCTATGGGAACAGACTGCTTTGAAGACAACGTCAGCTATTGGTGTACGTGCTCAGAAGGATCTACCCGGTTGATAAGTTTGTTCGATGAGAAAGATAAGGAGGAAAAGTATCCAACTGAAATATGTATAGGTAACAACAAACTTATTACTGAACCACTATTTATCATAATATAGTTTAATTTTATTTAAATAAAAAAAACGTTCAAATTATATATTTCTTATAGAAAATTCATATCATCTGACTGAAATGTTGTAAAACATAAAAAACGTGATTTTCATTTGTTAAGCCTATAATTTATAAAGCTCCTTGGTCTGTTAGTTAGTTAGGCCTTAAATCTCCTTGGTTTGCTAGTGTGTTAGGCTGTTGGATATACAAGACTGTTATTATTTTTATTTCATTCAGTGGTTTAATATTTAACGATTATTTAGTTTTCATAACAAGAATACCAAAAGTTAATTATTTTAAAAGCGATAGTTACGTAATTCGGTAGGAGTCGTAAGTTGTGTGTGGGTTAATTTGTTTAAAAATGATGTCACATTACTCAAACCTTCTGTATTTTTCTCGTTGCCTTAAGTTATTAGTGTTACATTATATATTCTCGTAGTTTGTAGAAAGTTCTAGGCCTCAGTTGGGCGGTATATGTATATATATATATAGACGAACAAGTGAGCGCAAGTTAAGCAAAGTCAGAAAACATTAAGATAATGAAGGTAAAGTTAGACTGCGTGAGTGTTAGTTTAGCCGTAACAGGCAATATTTAAAGTGAGTTTCACAGTTTGTATTGTAATAACAGAGATAAAGGAGAATATTTTGTCTTGTCAAAGGGTGTTCTGGGTACAATTATGTAACCGACGGTGTAATGTAAGTGAATCTATTGCAGTGAGAAACAGAATAGAGAAAAAAATAATTCGTCTTGTCAGTTGAGTTGTCAAATAACTGAACTAGCCTGTATAGACTTTTGACAAGAAAATAGAATTATTTAAAGATTTAGATAGAAGTGTGATATCCTATAGTGCAAAGAATTTTTGTACATAAGTTTGACTTGTTTTAATATATATTATTTTGAAACAAGTGGATTGTGTGCTGTCCTTTTATTGTTCAGATTTATCGCCAACAAGTCACATCACCTACTGTAAAGAATCTGGCCCCCTAATCTCTGACATAGGCCTATGAAACTGCTTGGTCTGCCAATTTGTTTGGCTTTAAAGCTCCTTGATCTGCTAGCTTGTAAGGTCGTAAGTCTCTTTGATCTACCAGTTTGTTGGGCCAATAAAGCTGCTCGGTCTGCCAGTTTTTTAGGCCTTAAATAACCTTGGTCTGTTAGTTTGTTAGGTCTTAAGACCCCTTGGTTTACCTGTTTATTAGGCCTACAATGCCACTTGTTCTACCATTTTTTTCGCCTAATCCTACTAATCTGTATACCTTCTGTCTCTCATTCCAAATTATTAGTTTAAGTAAGTTATGCATGTTAGTTATTTTAGCTATTTGGATTAGGAAATTCATATACTTTAGATAAGTTAATTATATTACGTTAGGTAAGTTAACTGTATTAGTTTAGGTAGGCTAGCACTTGAGACTTACTAAAAACTCAAATTTTTGCGTTTATGTACATTGTGTGTCGTCTTTCTCTTCATTTAATTAACGTAAATATCAGTACATAATTTGATCACCTTGAACTTAGTTTTATTGTAATTAAGTTTCAGATATAATAAA